GTCTGCAGACTGAAGGGTCCCAGGTTCGATTCCGGTCAAGGGCATGTACATTGGTTGTGGGCACATTTCCAGTAGGGGGTGTGCAAGAGGCAGCTGGTCGATGTTTCTCTCTCATTGACGTTTCTAGCTCTCTGTCTCTATTCCTTCCTCTCTCTAAAAAATCAATAAAATATATATATATTTTTTTAAAAATCTTAAGAATAATAATGCTGAGTGAAAATATATGTATTGGTATCAATTCAACTGCATAATTCTATTGACATAACATTATTTAATAATAAAAAAAGAAGTTACAGCAATGGAGAACAGATTAGTGAGTACTATTCAGGGATTATCTAGGGTTGATTATCATTAGGAATGGGGTGAGTGGTATAGAGTTAGTACAAGAGAGCCTGTGTTCTGTGCCTCAAATGTGGTAGGATTGACATGTAGATACACATATGATATAATTTCCTATAACTCGCACACATATACAGATAAGTGCATGCATAACTGCTGAGATCTAAAGAATCCTTATAGATTTTACCAATGCCAGTTTTCTCATTTTGTTATTGTAATAAGTTATGCAAGATGTCAACTGGACTAATGGTGCATTGGACATCTCTACATAAATATCTTTGCAAGTTCCTACAAATACATAAATACTTCAAATGCGAAGTTAAAAATAGGAAAAGTTGAATAAAATTAAACTGAGTTTCTCCATCATATGAGCCACATTTTAAATGTTCTATAGTCACATGTGACTAGGGGCCACTACATTGGACAGTAAAGAATCATATATAGAACCTGTCCATCACTGCAAAAATTCTCTTGGATAGCACTGCTGTAGACACTATGATGTCTAAAGGAGTTTTAGACTTTACTCTCAACCTACGCAGTAACATTAAAAGAAAATGCTACCCCTATTATGTAAGCTGAATTCAGGGTCTTCTCTTTTAAAGGGACTAGTTATGACTCCACAGTTGTCACCCAGCTACTAATAAGGACTGCTGCACCACCTGGCAAGGCAAACAGAATGAGTGATCTTAATCATCTATCCCACAAAATGATACAGCTATCTTTTCTAGTCCTTTCCTCTTTTCTGTTCATGATGTGGGGAAAGTAGGTCATGTCAGTGATTCTGTACTCTTAAAAATCTGGGCCTCTAAAATTCCTTAGCAGCATCTTGCATGGTGCTTTGAACCATGTAGTAGATAGTCAGGATTTTTGAGATTATTCAAATAATTTTTTTTTTAAATTCTGACTCATTAAGCAATGAGTGGGTACACCTGACTTTAAAATAGTGATGAATGACTAGAATTTTTTATGTCAGTCAACTATCTTTTTTTGTGCTATTTTTTTAATGCCTTCTGTATTTATATTTACATTTTAGGGTTTTTAAAAATATTTGTATATATTGTGAGATACTTACTATAATAAGTCTAGTTAACATCAATTACCATACATAATATGGGCATTTTTTCTTGTAATGAAAAATTTTAAGATGTACTCTTATCTTTTAAATATATACTAGAATATTATTACATCTTAATGAGTTACTTTATAGCTGGGAGTTTTTACTTTTTGATTCCCTTCTCTCATTTCACCAACATCCCTCACCTCAGATTTCCATCAATCTTTTCTCTGTATCCAGGAACTTAGGTGTTTTTTTTGTTTGTTTGTTTGTTTTTCTTTTCTTTTTTCCCCTGAGGGGGCTGGTTCTGTTTGGTGGCTTTTTAAATTGAGTTTATTGGGGTGACATTGGTTAAAAAATTATATAGCTTTTATGCTCAATTTTATAACATCATCTGTACACTGTATTTGTATATTCACCACCCCTAAATATTATGGAAGAGTTTAAATAGCATTCTGATTATCATCTTTTTAAAGGTTTAGTGAACTATTATAAACCATCTGTATTTACTGTTTGTTTTATTTTTTTGTTTTTATGAGCTTCTTCCAATAGCCTTATTTATTTCTTCATGTAAACCAGAAAGTCAGTATTGGTAAATTATATATTCCTATAAAGTTATTTCATCCAGGTTTCAAATTTATTTTCTTGCATTTAAGAAAATTACTTTTATGATATTTTTAATTTTCCATTTTCTGAAGTTATTTCACTCTTATCTTTTTTACATTTGAATATTTGTTTTAAGTATTTTTCCTAATTCCAATCTAAGTATATTCCTACATCAGTTGTGCTTTAGTTCTTTTGAACTAGTTTTAGATTTATTTATTTCCAGTTTTTATTATTTTCTAATAATTTATGCTTTTTTGTAATTTTATTAGTTTCTTCCTATTTCCTTTTTTAATTTTTGAGATATTACTGTGTTCATTATCTCTTGCATGTTAATATCTGTAGTTAAAGTGATTTGTTTTCCTCTGAGATCACTGCTTTAGCCGTCCTCATAGGAATGAAATATATAGAGCAGAAGAGAATACTCAGTTGTGATTCAGGATACAGAGGTTCCAGTCCTAAGTCTCTCTGCGTAGCATTCTCTCTGCAGTGTCTTCTTGGGCATGTCACCTAGTTTTCATCCTTGTGTTTTAATTTCAGTGGATAAAGAGTGTTTGATGTCCTCAAAACTTCTGTCTTGCTGTCCAGTTTTGTGACATGCATGCTTATTACCAGCTTATGACTTCAATAATTTGAATTTACAACATGAACTCTAAAGTTCTTAATAACAATCTCATAGTGAGTCTGTGAAGTGCAGCCTCTGATGTAATCACAGAGGACATGCTTCTCATCGCTCTTCTGGCTACGAGATGGGAGCCTGGGCCTCAAGCAAACTCAGTTCTCTATAAATTTTCTCCACTAACTTAGTACATTTTGTCAGAATCAATCTGTTGAAAGTTATCATGTAAGGTTTATGAAGAAGTTTCCTCCAAGCCCTAGGAAGATCTTGCTAAAAACAAACACATAGGATGGTTAGTTATGAAAAATCAGGCAAAGTGCAGCTAAGTCTTTGGGACTGGTTAAGATGAAGCCAAAAAATAACAACAAATGTGTCAAAATAAAATTGCAAAATAAATATAAGGTCTGAAAGTTACACAGAAATATATAATAATAAGAACATCATTAGAATAAAAAGAACATCATTAAACAGTGAGAGATTCTGCCTCTAAAATTCTTTTAAAGTAATGTATTTTTATTGATACCAGAGAAGAAGGAAGAGAGAGAGAAACATCAACAATGAGAGAGAATCATTGATTGTCTCCTGCATGCCCCACACTGGGGATCAAGCCCACAACCTGGGCATGTGCCCTGACTGGGAATCACACCATGACCTCCTGGTTCATAGGTTGATGCTCAACCACTCAGCCATGTCAACTGGGCTAACATTCCCTTTAAAAGTGTAAAACCAAAATATGAAAAAGTTTCTTTAGAGATAATTTAAAAAAATAGTGTTAAGAGAATAGAAGTCAGATTGTCACAGGATCTTTAACTTGTACATATTACATAAAGTTTACATATGAAATCCTTGCCTATATTTAAATATAAAAAAATAGTAAGCGAAGAAAGTCAGTGTCCTTTGTGGAAGAGTTAATGTTAACACAGCAAAATAAAATAGCTTAAGTTTTAAATTTCCCTATGTGTGTGTTTAAGGTTTGACACGAAAATAATATATTTTAATTTTAGCTACTAATGTAAAAAAAAGTTGCAGAATATAAACTAGAAGGGAAACTGAACAAAATGCCCTTCATTTACATTAATTTAAAATTTTCTATTTTATATTATTATGTAACAATCATTGCTCATTCTGAATAACGTTATGTGTTCAAAATAAATCACATCTAAGTTTTGTCCTCATTTCATCACATTTCTAACTGTATTAAATTAGTCTTGTAGCCTTAAAAAAATGCATTTAATTCAGCCAGTATGGCTCAGTGATTGAACTACAACCCAGGAACCAAGAGGTCCTGGGGTAGGTTCTCAGTCAGGGCACATGGGTGGGTTGTAGGCTTGATCCCCAGTAGGGGGTTGCTGGAGGCAACTGACCAATGATGTTTCTATCTCATCGAAGCTTATCTCTCTATTCCTCTCCCTTCCTCACTCTCTAAATATCAATTAAAATATTCAGTTTCTTTAAAAAGCCTTGATTTTCAGATGCATCTAAGGAGACCAGGCTTAGTAACAAAGCTAAAAGAAAAAAAAGAAAAATATATTTAATCTATTTGTATCAAGAAAAAAAGCAAGATATGTGCTATATTTTGTTTAAATATTTCTGATGCAGCACAACTTGCTTTTTCTTTATAGTAAATATTTAAAAGAAGTGTAATATTAAATAGTGCACCTAATTGAAAACATCATGTGAAAATATTGGGACAATGGTTTGGAAGCATAAAGACACTGTCACTCAGTGTTCCTGTCTGTTCCCTCATAAATCCGTCCCAGGAGCATGGACGCCAATGAGAGTAAGAGCCGAACGGAAGTCTGAAATTCTGGCTGAACAGTTCCCCATTGTGTACAAGAGACAGTTGCTACTCTTGTGCCAAAGTGGACTTAACAATATGATAATAGTGTAGAGCATGGTATAAAAGACACTGCAAGGGCATTTATTATAGCTAGTGGCTCATTTAAATTTAGAATTTATTGTGGCTTGTATGGACTTAGTTGAGTTCATGACTTTTAGTCTGTTTTTCTCCTTTCTAAAATTGGAATGATGATACTAGGATTGCAATATAAGGTAGTGCATACAACAGCACAGGCACATGGTAAGCATTTCAGTATTAAATTCCCATTGCTTTGTGGTAATCACCCTTTTTAGTGGAACACTGTCTAAGCTATGTAAATTCATGTAAAGAAGTAAATGTGAACCTACACACCTAAATAGGGATATTTCCTAAAGATTAATAGAAGTAGATTATTAATGTGGAAATTGAAATGAATCAAGAATACATTCTTCTAACATGACCAAAGAGACAAATACAAAAGCAGGGTCTTAGGCAAACAGTATGGTTGGTTTGTCTATTTCAAGTCATACAATGAACTTTTAATTACGTTGTATATGTTGTTTCAGAGGCAAAGGCCCATTGAAAAATACATCTGATGTCATTAATGCAGCTAAGAAAATTGCCGAAGCAGGTTCTCGAATGGACAAATTAGCCCGTGCCGTGGCTGATCAGGTAATATAAGAGGGAAGAATCCTTGATTAGCACTTGGGTTCTGTTATGGGTTTTATCCACCCTACAAAATGCTGAAGAATGAATTGTACAAAATCACTAACATTTCATAAACTGGCCTCTAACTCTGCTGAGACTGAGCTGATGGAGAAGGTGTATTCAGTTCAGGAGTGACTCCTAAGGCCTATGATGAGCTGAAATCTGGAGGTTCTCAAGTATGGTTCATTGGGAGAGGAGAGCACCCACTATCTTCCGGAGAGTCGTGGAGTCTCCCAGCCACCCTCATTCAGAAATGCAGTCACACTGAATAAGGGAGAGGGAAAAGAAAGATGTCTGCATCTTGTTATCGAACATTGATCTCATTGTACTGATGCTCTTCATAATTCATAATTATTTGTGCCCTCGTACAAATGAGACTAATCTGCACAATTAAGAACCTCCAGATTCCAGCAGCATTTTCATCCAGACTCAGAGGCATCAGAGATAAATGGAATTCTATTTTGTAATTTCAGAGCAAAAAAAGATACAGATTAGAATGATTCTTAATCTCACCTTTAATGTTTGAGTTGATTTCCTTTTCACATTTTTCATTTTATCTGGCTAGAATTGGAACTCTAAAATCCTGTTGTAAATGTTTTGGTGCAGTAATGTTCCGTTTCCTTAAGTGTACTTTAGGCTATAGACTTTGCCAGATAAACTGATCCTCATTTCTTTAGTAACAGTGGATTACAGTTTGAACCATTTTAAAAGGACAATGTCTTAAAATATAAGATTCTGAAATGGTAATACTATATCCACTATTATTTACATGGAGACATTGTGAACATGAATCTGCTTACTCTAGACTACAGCACAATGGCGTTCTCCAGAGACATGGATACAGGATTGCTTCCTCCTCCATAGTCTTCTATTATTTTGGGGTTGATTATAGTTTTACTCCTCTAATCCTGAATATTAGGCTGTCCCTCTAAATACAATCTTCACCCAAGATTCTTAAATATTTTAAGAAAAATACATTATTAAAGTATTAAGATTATATTTAAAATAAGCTAATATGTTATCTCATTTTATTTTATTGTCTCAATAGATTGTCTCAGCTAATTCAAGGGAATATTTTTGATTTTGAATTTTTGAGAAACACTTAATAGTAAAGCTAATTCATTAAGTATTATAATTTGAGACACCTTTCTAATTTGTAGGGTTTGAGGACCAAACCATTACTGGATCGGTAATTTCAGGACAGTATCAACTGCCAGGCTTCCTGAAATTTGAAGCATAATTTGAGTTTCTTTCTACAGAGTTCTATATACATTCCAGAAAGTTCATATAAAAAAGAGAGACAATGGACTCACTTGAAAATGTGCATGCATGCATGCAAACAAATAAAAATACACCAAGAAAGAATGCCATATCTCCCTCCCCATACCCCTCCCCTTCCCCTTGCAAATGTTGAGGTGGGGAGGATGAGTGAGCAGAGATTGGTGGGTGGCCCTTAAAATAGTTTTATTTGGACAGACTTCTTCCTGGGAGTGAAAGTGAATGAAGTTTGGATGGCTTTTCCATTATATTCTGAATCTCAATGGCTAAATCTATGTCTCAATATTTTAGGCTAATTGAGCTCAATATTTTTATTTTTATTCTTGTTTTTTTTATTTTACATTTTTGCAAGTTGAGGTAAAGCCCAAAAACAGTTTTGGTATCTGCAAAATGACACAAATCCCAGGATTCCAGATGTCTTTTGATATTGTGATGAAGTATTTAATGCAATTTAATGATGACTTTAAAAGAGACAGATAAAGGTAGACAGAACCCTCGGTTTGTGGCATTCTTACTGTCATAAGTGGTGAAGCAATTTGCAATTTCCCCCCTCGTTCTTTTGTCTGAATTGGACATTTATTTCTCAAATTATCCTATTTCCATGAAGTAAGACTTATTTTTCTTGTTTCATCTTGCCTTTATTTGTGCTTTAAATGCTTCAGTTTAAATAACAGAATAGAACGAAAAGTACCCAGGAACAAATTGATTGCCTTTATTTTGCCTGAAAATATTTTTATGAAGATTTGAGATATGCACGCAATATAAACTTTTTACGGACTGTTGCATTTTTAATTACTGTTCCATTAGATAGAACTTTTAGTTTAATTTGCTGCAAGGTATTTATATCAAAAGACTAGTCAGCCCTCTAGGGAGATATCATTTTAAAGTTAATTCCTTTCAGTAGATGGGTCTCTGGAGTAGGATAAATATTACAGAATTAAATACTTTTAGAAAGCTAAAAAACAGTTTTCTGTAGGTTTCTTTCTTGATAACTACAGTTAGTGGGAGGGGAGGGAAATACTATAATGATAAGTGTTATATACAAAAGAGACCCCTTTGTCATTTATTCAATGAGTGATTATGTCAAAAATCACTGGCTTCGCAGTACTAATGAAAATTATTTTCCTTGAGCATCAAGGAAACAATTGGAGTGCTTTTTCTCCTACTCTTAGTCTAATTAAGATACTTCACTGTGGCCTGTAGGTGTTTATTTCTTACAATGTTTCATCAAGGATCTTGTGATTATATGTTTTTTACAAGTGTCAAATTGGACCAGAACAATGGAATGGCCTGGAGAATCTCTAACTGAACTTTTGAAAGAGGACTTTATTTCAATGACCGGATAGCCATTGGCGCCTCCAAAATGCCTCAGGGAGCCTTGTAAATGTCCTTGGAAATGTTCATCTAAGCTCAGTGTATTCAATGGACATCTGCCTGTTTAAGTCGCAGATATTTCAAAACCCCTGGTTATAGTTGACTCTGGCGCATCCAGCGTCTGGGATCTGTTGTTTCTCTTACAAGTGTTTCAATTGGTATCAACTTCATTCTCTTTCTCACATCTGTTTCTCTTACAGTGGTCATGATTCTTTTCAGTGTTTTGCTTAAAGGAAAAACTGTTTATCATGTTGCTTAAATTTCGATAAATATGATAATCAAAAAGGTAGAATAGTTTTTTCCTTTCATGAATGGTGCATTTCTTAAAAAAAAAAAAAAAAAAAAAAGGAAAGTGATTTTCCCTTCCAACTAATTGAATTGAAGTTCTGCCCTTTTCTATGGCAGAGAGATTGTCTCACAGAGTGATTTCTTCTAGCATGTGCTACTTTGGTTGTTTGTATTAAAATAACTTGCACATAGTAAACATTGAATGAGCCACTAGGAATAAAAATGGTAAAATACTTAGTTTCTTAACAGTTTTGAAGACAACTGATAAAATACCCAGAAACATGCTCAGAAGTCCCAATAAGACTTGCTGAAAGATCTTTACTATTCTCTTGGTAGAATTCTGTTCAAGTCCAACTAACTCTTCTAAACTGTTGGTTCTGGTATTCCTAATACTCTATAGAAAGAATTTAAGTGAAATGGATATAATGAAAGTATATGACACTGAAACCTTTTCTTCTCACCACAGCTTTCATCATATACCACGTGTTTGAAACTGAAGAGTGCGTACTAACTGAGATTACTGTTTTACCTGTTTTATAGTGTCCTGATTCAGCATGTAAGCAGGATTTATTAGCCTATCTTCAGCGAATTGCCTTGTATTGCCACCAGCTTAATATCTGCAGCAAGGTGAAGGCGGAAGTGCAGAACCTGGGAGGAGAGCTCATTGTGTCAGGGGTAAGCTGGGACGTGGGCTTCACGATTCAGTTCCCAATGTTGTACCTCCAGGCGAGAACTCTTGGCAACAGTACTGCTAAAAAACACCACACTGCAGTGATTCATAGGGAGGTAGTTTTAAAATAAATGTTATCACCATTATTCCAGACCTTACAATAACTCACAAAGAGCGATTTGATTTTCCAATTACCCCATGTTTATACTAGCCTTGTAAAATCTCCATTATTCACAAGAAACTAATTTCATAGTCTGCAAACTCATTGCCAGGCTGTGACTATTAAAATTATTTGGGGCTTTGGTATGTTTACTCATTGTGAGTCGACATCCCTTTGTTAACCCAAGTAATTTTCATTCAGGAGCCAGCCTCTCTATGTGTGGATTGTGTTCACATGTTAGAGATGATAAAAACAATGGAAATTCATTCATCAGGTTCCAATGCATACTAGGTTTTTAGTAACCATTAAAAGCCACGATGTTTGAATGTAATCCAGGTTGATGTGCTGTTGCCAAAAACTAACATAGTTTTCAAACACTAACAATTATATATATATATTTTTTTACTTAATCCCATGTTTCCCTTCTCATGAAAATATAAGTATCTGATTCATTTCATCAAATGCAAAGAAATAAGTTCAGTGAATAGAAGGATCATGACTTCTTGGCAAGATTTTCAAATGTATGTGTTGAGGTTCTTCATCTTGGATTCTTCTCCCCCCTCACTGAGTCCCTCTCTTTTAACAAAAGTTGCCATCTCTGGTTTTAAACTATTTGCAATCCTGAAGCGTGGCTCTACCACCTTTAGTTCTTTTCCCAGTCAACCATGATGCTGCCTTTTGAAGTGTGGCATTACCAGGAACATAACCTTATCAATGTAGGAAATGCCTTGCCAAAATCACATTGGTCACAAAACTCAATTCCCCCTTCCCTCCCCCCCTACCCCGAAAGCCATTTAAAAAAAAGAATCATCAATTTGACCCTTTGATAAAAATATGTGGAAAAAATCATTCTTGAATCCAATTATTTCCTATATTGCCTGAGTTGCAGAAAACATAGCTGGGAAAAGAGCTGATCTGGCTTGCATGAAGGTGCCATCTGGAAAGCCTGGTCCATGCAATCCCACCTAGAGCCTATTAAATTGGCTATTTTGTGCCTCTTTCCAAAGCATAGTCACCTCTTTGCATTTCTAAAATGATCCTGCTTCAACATTCTTCAGCAACCAAGTGCAATCTGTCTTGCAATGTGTCCCTTTCTGCCAAGTTGGTAACTACCAAGATTCTCTCTGCCAAGAAGTGAGTGAACAAAACATTGCATCTCCCTTGCTTCCTTTCTTCTCTTCAGCCTCAATGGTATAGTTTCCCATACCATTCAGCTTTCATGTCCATCTGTATATAGTACATGTGGAACTGAGTCCTTTTTGTTTAGCTTGCCTTGTGTGCTTTCATTTGTCATGTTCCAAATCTTAATTATTTACATGGATGCACAAAAGCATCTTTTGTGGATCTCAGACTCCACAGCTTCATCTGGACAATATTTTCCTGGCAGAGTTGCTCTCCATCATCCTCTCAGTACCCATTATTCATCACTGCCTCCAGAGCTTCATTTCCATTGTCTTCCTCATTGAGATGTAATCCGAACCATCATTGGCTTTTATCACTTGCACTGTTGGCATTTGCAAAGGTGTTTGAGATGGAGAAGCCTATTTCCTTCTTTGAGTCTTATTGGCAAAGAACAGAAAACCTTGCATGGGAGAAGGCTTCTATTAGAGGAATGTTATACAACTTTATAATAATTCTGAGTCAAATGCATTATAAGGGTTTGCTATGTGTTGCTTGGTTATGGGCCCACTCTTGGCCTCCTCATGATTTTTTTCAAGCTTGATTGCTATTTGGTACCATACCTGCATCCATAGTCTGCTGTCTTCGCCACTTCTGCCTTCACCTTAGTCTGCATCTCCTTCACTGATGGCGAATGGAGAAAAAAGTCAATATGTTTATTTTTCAAAATAGCCCCAATGACTGCCTTCAAAGTTTTGAAAGTGTCAAGACTGTGACAATCTTTAAATGATTTTGCCAAGAAAGTGCATTCATGCTTTTGGCTCCATTTGTTTTGCTGTCTGGCATGACAAAGTTTGCTATATTTTTAAGGAGAAGCAACTATAGTGTAATGCATAATAAATGAAGACAAATAGTTAAACTTTTCTTGCTTTTCCCCTCTGTTTATGTATATGACATCAAAGCTGTGGTTTCTTCTCTGAAATATATGAAAGCCCCCAGTAAGATATATTTGTTGGAAGGCAAACTTTCTCCTAAAACAGAAGAGATTTGGACAGATGATTTCCATTTTGCCAAGAAAATGATTTGAATTTTAAAACTCAGAGCCATTTTTTTTCAGTCTTCTGCTAGCATGATGAACATAAAATGTATATGTGCATAATAATATACCATGTTAGTATGTGATGTTTTATGTGATTCTGTGGAGACACTGGGAAAGGCCTCTTCTGTTGTATCTTCCTTTTATGTGAGAGGTAGATTTAGAAAATTCAATAGGTCTTGGGTGGAAAATGGGAGCAAATGCTCTTCCTGAGTCATGATGGGAAACTAAAATAAAGCAATTAGGATGTATGCTGGCATATGCTCATTCACACAACTGCTGTCTAAGAAGCACCATTAGTCTTCTGGCTGGCAACCAAGTTTTTAAATTCATTGGCTTAAACCTTTCTCAACAGCCAAATGGTCCCATTCTTATTAAATCTCAAAGTAGGAGATGCATTTGGGAGCCAATTCAGCTCAACTGGGTTGCAAGGGATGACAATAAAGTGGAAAAATGATTTAAAAATAAGTAGAGTGATAGCCCTAGCTGGTATGACTCGGTGGGTAGAGTGTCAGCCCACAAACTGAAGGGTCCTAGGTTTGATTCCAGCCAAGGGCACATACCTTAGTTGAAGACTCAATCCCCAGACCTGGTTGGGGTGTATGTGGGAGGCAACCAATCAATGTGCCTTTCTCACATCAATGTTTCTCTCTCTGTCTCTTACCCTCCCTTCCACTGTCTCTAAAAAAGTCAATGGAAAAATGTCCCCTGGTGAGGATTAACAACAACAAAAATAGTAGAGTGATAGAGATATTAAAGTGAAAGCAGAGGACATAAAGGCCAGAAGATGAAATAGTCTCTTAGTTTATAAAACTGGCTTTGTTTGCTTAGTTTGCTTAGTTTGGTGTTTGCTTATTGTTAAGTCTCTTAATCTAGCTGACATGCATTTTGGGAAAAGAAATGTTAAAAAAAAAGAGAGAGGGAAGGAATGAGGGAAGTGACATGAAAGAAGGAAGAAAACAAAGGAAAGAGAAACATAATGATAGCATATCATACAGTAGTTTCATGCAGGTAAGAGCTATTAAACATGACAGCATTATATTCACCATGGGAGAAAATTTGAGCCAAAATGTTTCCAGTATGTAAATACATTTTGAATACAAATAAGTTCCAATGCCATGATATGGAAATTACCTGTATATTTGATTGTCATGTTTATAATTAATTTTTGTTGACTAGATTTTAGAGGATTTAATGGGTTCTTTTACATTTAAAACAAAGAGGTACACAAAGTTCTGGAGAAAGCAAAAACCCATTCTAAAACCTTCGTTTCTCTTTAGCTACCAAGCGATTTATACTTTATTCATTATTCTGAATAAATTAGAAACACTGATATAGGATTTTAGAACACAGAATGCTGAACATCCATCAGCATTCTGATAAAACTGAAATATTCCACTTAAAAAAAAAGGTTCAAATACAACAGGAGCCCCATTATAACAACAAAGCCATAACACAAGAACAATATCCCTGATCTGGTCAGGAATTTGATCGGAGAAGGAGGGACTTTAATATAAATTAGTGATAACTCCATAAGAAAATAATAAAAATTTAATAAATTTCATTGCATACACATGTCCTTTTTTCCAGAAAAATGTTTTTAGTGATTATTTAGAGAGGAAGGGGGAGCACATATACATATGAAGAGAAACATCGATTGGTTGCCTCCCATTTGCACCCTAACCAGGGACTGAACCTGCAACCTGGATATATGCCCTGACAGGGAATCGAACCAACAGCAACCCTCCAGGGCATGGGATGAAGCTCAACCAGCTGAGTCATACTGCCCAAGGCTGCATGTATATTTTTTATACTAACAAAATATAGAAACACAGTTTAGATGTGAGGAATATTATCCCTAAGTCCTCATGGTGATTGAATGGAGTCCTAACCTGTTCCTGAAGGATTAAGTAACTACCCTAATATGCACTTTTGTTCTTTGCCTTTTAAATCTATTCTTCCAAATGTAAATCCATTTCAATTGCATTATGGAGAGAGGTTTGACAAGGTGAGCAAGTGTAATTTGTGACATTGATAGGATTTGAATTGGTAAAGTGAATTGAAAATTGGAGAATAGGGGTTAATTACAGTCATTTGTACTACCTATATTTCATGTCATTTAAAAAAATAAACTCGGTTAAAGGTTAAAATCAACATGAATAGTTATGATAATAAATAAAAAACATTCAGAAAAATACAGAAACTGATAATATTCAAGTCAATCTTCCCTAACATTGGCATATAATCAAAGATACATGGATATTCACACACATACATCCAAGAGATAGACTTGATTTGACATTTACTCCATTACCCCCTGAATAAGCAATAAGAAAAAAAAAAGGTTGACAACTATGGCATGTCTAATTCAATACAACTCAGGGAAAAGAAAATGTGTGATTTAGTTGTATGATATATATATATATATATATATATATATATATATATATATATAGTTTGTAAACATTGTGATTTGTTGAGATGAAAGTTGCATTCCATTTGAAAAGTTCCATTTTTCCTCAATAAAATGTGTATGTTGAATTGATATGAAACAGTCCTTTGAAATAAGCATTGTGCCTGATTATGCAGACCTGTACTTTAAGCAATTCTTTTTTGAGAATCTCCTTTTT